CCCCTCAGCCCCCTGGCCCTGCTCGTGCCCCTCATTCACCCCCGCAAATCCCCCAGCCTTGCTTGTGTCCCTTGCCCCCCCTCTTCTTTTAAGCGGATGTTAAAAGAAACACAACCCCAAATAGATATATAAATGCACATGGGAATAAGCATAAGGTGATAAGCAGAAAAATGAGATACATACGCTCCATGAAATGGTTCATCACGTGATCTGGAAATTGAGAAAGCAAAATAAGGGGAAAAAATGAGTCTACAAGAAGTTCCACATGGGAGGGAGAAAAAGGACCAATCTCATTGTTTACGAAAGCATTTGATCTCATTATTAAAGGTAGCATACACATGCTGCTGAAAGGACACAAAAGTAACCCACTAAGTTAGCATTCAGCATCCACAGTACCATAAATTAATAGTGAATGGGTTGATTGCTGACCTTGGCCCATTAAAAAGTGGGAACACCATGACTGCTGTGAATAAAGTTTCACCAAGCTGAACAATTTATTTGCTCAAAATATTTTGTATGCACTTAGAAGTAGGCATTTTTAACTGAAAACCTATATAAATCCTATAAACATAAGGCTGGAGGAAGAAAGGTATGGTTAGGCAACAATAACTTTAGGAAGTTTTACTCCTCCCTGTGGAAATTAAAAGCCAGGAGCAGCTAAAACTTAATTTAGCACTGATATCTTCCCTGAATTGAGATGCCAGGCCAGTAATATTTTTCACCTCCTTCCTAGACCTCCTGAAAACTCACTTGTTCTCCAAAGTTGATACGACAGCCAACCTCTTGACCAACGCTGGGAGTTGAAGCAAAGAGGTTCCAAAGAAACTAGCTACATAGATATGGACAGATTGGGGGATAAAGTCAGGTATAGCTAATATTATGTAGAAAAGTCTAGGTATAGGTTATACATCCTATCACTAACTACAACTCTCTCCAAGCACCTTTTTGGACGCAGCTTGTTTTTATAGACTGCAGAGTCTCGGGCAGAGAAACTGGAGCTTTCTGAGTGTAAATGTGTGCATGGACAGTGCCCAGCACAGTATGCACCACAGTCTTATAGCAAGGGGCTGGGACAGGGAGAGATCAAAAGAGCTAGAATGAGCCAGCAGCAGCTTTCTGTGGTTTTATTTTCATTGTAAAAACTAGAGCCACAAGCAACTGACAGCTCCAAATTTAGCCTTCCAAAATGAAAAACACAAGTTTCAAAGAAGCCCCAAAACCCTGAGTAAAGCATCTTCAGAGGGGGAACAAAATTAAAAACACTATTGGCCTGCATGTTTCTGCAGCCTCTAGTCTTATCCCAAAATACATACAGGGATTGGTTTTCTTCCATATTTAAAGCACTCACTGCAGTAAAAACACTTGGCTTAATATCCAAGTAAATAAATAATCCAATTACGGAACGAGAACAGCTGCATCGTTCTGGCAACTCATTAAATATTGAAGCATCGGAGCTCAAGCCACCCTAAAGAAAATTTCAGTCATCCGTGTCCAAGGTCAGAGGATAATCAAGTGACGTTAATACTATAAAGTATTTCACCGTCTCAAAGCAGGAGAAAGTAAGCTCTAAGGTTCCCGGTACTAACGTCTTCTAATAGAAAAGGATTGTTTCAGCATCACGTTGTGTTAAACATGTGTGGTAGTTTGAATGTTACAGCTGAGCTAACCAAGAGCCTGACTGATGTTCTGTTCTATGTTTGTACGGCCCCAGCACAGTAAAGCCCTGGCCTCTGATTGGGATTTTTATGCTCTACTGCAACAAGAATTAAAAAATTGTAATTCTTGCTGTTTGGAATGAGCAAGCAGAGGATTTCAGACTAGTACAGTGGGAGAGCTGTTCTCTTTAGTAGCGCTGTTCTCCTCTGTATTAACTGCACTCGTGCCATAGATGAAGGCATCCAGTTTGAAGTGTACCACACCTCCTGAAGTACAACCACCACCTATGTTTGGCATCATCCAAGCCAAAGGATGGCCTGGGATTGAGGAGCTGAGCAACCCTTCAAAAATGGGACGCTGAGATCCTACAGCAAGAACTCTACTGCACAACTTCAATATTAAGCTTCTTAGGGGATCAGGACCTTCAAGACACTGATAGGCAAAGATCAGATAGCCTAAAACCATTCAGGCATAGTTACATCAAGGTTAACTTTAAATAATAATTAGTACAACTCTTGCAGGATTAGACGTCTGTCCTCCAAACACAAGAAATATCTGGTTATATCTGGAAATATCCCACTCTGCTTCTGGCACCAACCATGGGTCCCATCATAGCTGGCTGAGATGACATTATTTATTTTGGGCCCTGGACTATTTAAGTACAACGTTTTGATGATACTAAAAAAAGGACCCTGCTCTCAAAGGCTGCATCTGGCCTCATGTATCTTCTGGGGCAGGGAGCAGCTTTTCAGGATGCATGTGGACCCCAATCCGTGACGGGAACTTCTAAGGTGCTATTACAATACAAATGATTCTAATACTACTACCAAGGGATACAGGGCAAATGATGGAGTCAGCTGGGAACCTAGCCACTTAATGTCCTAGAGCAGACTCATCTAGGAGTAATTTACTTCTACATGCCTTGAAAGGGTTTAAGCAGGAATAAGAATACAACCTGGTGCAAAGGTGAAAAAAGGGAATTGAAATGTTCATTTACTCTACTGCAAAGAATGTGACCCCCCCCAAGTAAAGGCTTCTTAAGAGGTGCTAAGGCAGCAGCCATGGCATGATTTCCAATCAATCGACAGAAGCCGTGGATGGTCCGCACCGCTGAATAATGCGTGAGCACTGGCTTGGCTTGCTACTATCTGTACTCTAAATCCAGGTACCAGATCACACTGTGTGTGAACTGCTGGAGCACGGCAGGCAAAACATACCTTCAAAAGAACCAGTACAGAAGTGAAGCAAAAGAGACTAACTATTCTGGCAAAGGAAAGGGGGGCTCTTGGAGGGATCCTGCTGACAGAGGAAAGTACCTTTGGGGTTGTCGGGAATGACAATGGGTGGAGCAATGTCTGGAAGTTCCTCTTCTCCTGGCTGGAGGCCTGTGGCACGGAGGTGACTGATGTCTAGCAGGTCTGGCATGTCTATGGAAACATCTGCACATAGAGAGACAAAGCTTATGAATGCCTTCCAGCATGAGCCCTGTGTTGAATGTCACATGCTGCGGTGAAGGGAGCCCAACACAAGCCACAAATATGATTATTTTCCTTGAAGCAGTTAATTGATGGGTCCATCATCTTTGCTATGAAAACTGACTTCTTATTCTGCAAACCAGGGGTTCTGTTGAGCTCAACAAGGAAAGGAGAGGCCACTGAATTTTGTTACAAATGTGAGGCTCAAACCAGGTTTTCACTGAGCTCAACAAAGTACCCACATCTTTTAGAAGAACCTGAACTGAATGGGGAGGAGGAAGGCATGCGAGAGACATACCAAGCTTCTTGGGTATCCAGTCCAGACCAAAGGTGAACTTCTTTATTTGCACAACCAAATACTCAGGAAACGAAGCAAAACGAGATGTTCTGGGAAACACAAGAAAGTCAGGTCATCAGGACACAAACTGCAGTGCCTGAGCCATGCTCACACAAATTGTTTTTGGCTTGAAAGAGGTTGGCAGCATTAGATCTCCTGCATTCTCCCAAGCAAAAGCGAATCCCATAAGATCCAGTGCATATTTAAACCACAAAGACTAAGGTTCAGGGGCAATGTTTGCTTTCCTGACATGTAAACTAGTTCAATATTTATCCTTCATCTTCTTTCTGAACCGCCACAGAAAGATCAACAGGAGTTCTGCAAGAAGTAAGGTGCTGGGATGGGACCCCATGAACTAACCTATACTTATATTCAAGACCCATTCAAACTGTCTTTATGCTGAATGCTGGGAGTTAAATATTCAGTGCTATGTGTGGGGACTTACATGAGCAGTTCCTTTAAGTAAAAATCACACGACTAAAAGTGTAGGGCATTAGGTGGAATGTGCAGCTGATAAAGAGCCCAGTAGTATTTTTATTTTTCAAATGGTATTATCTTTAAGGTCAGCAACACTGGCTATCAAGAAATAACCTTTCTACAAGGCATACAACCCCTTCAAAATCTGCGATGGCATCTGCTATTAACATCCAAATAAAAGGTCATTCCTCAGGCTAAGCAAATGTGACCTATTTATTTACCATTCAGTGGATCATCACAACTCTCGGTGGGGTAGATTTGTGTTGACCTGCACATTTTATATTATGCGCTCCACCACTATCCCACTCTACCCTCAGCTGCATCACCATCTTTTTCCCATGTGTGTCACATTGGTTTTTAATATGGAACTGCCCACTTACTTAACTCCTGCAGATTTTGCTTGAAGGGCACTACTCCAGAAGTCATCTACGTTGTTCGGTTCAGAAAAGGCCTGCAGACACGCACTAAATGGGATCCTGGCACGGACAAGCTCTGGTGGTGGTCTCCTAGCAGCTTCTGCCTCTCTCCTCTTTAGTTCATAGGCAATTAATTCATCTGAGAAATACACAGGATGCTGATGGCGAAATGAACAATGCGCTCCTGATGCATCTTTCGTTAGTCTTATTTTTCACAAGCTTTTAAAATCCAAAACCTTGCTTGGGAAAAGTAAACTTTTACATGGATCTGACTCAGTTCAGAGGACATCAAGGCTACATCAGGCTCATAGCCCAGAATTGTAGTTAGCATGCCTAATCACAGTGAGGACAGAGCGGTACAAACACGTGGAGACAAACGACTACATTTTTCATGGCAGGATCTTTATTTCCATGCAAACAGCTATGCTTTGTTGGCTTCATCAGCTCATTCTGATGCAGCGAACCATTGCTGGTCTATGCCTCCACTGGCCCTTTCTTAATTAGTTGCTGTTGGATGGCAGTGTTTATCATGTTGATGCTGGACAGGTAATGAAATACATGGAATACACAACATTATAAATGCTGCTATAGGAATAAGATGCCTTTAAAAAACAAAAACAAAAAGCAGTGCCAGTTACTAAGGAGTATGGCACATTTTCCATCACTTAATCCTCAAATCAGGGTTGAATGGCTTTCTAAAATACTTGCTCCAGTTCAGCTGCTCATTATAGGCCCCATGTGGGGACCAGAGTGGAATTCTATGGTCTGTTTTAATAAGATCAGGCTACGTGATGATAACATCCCCTTCCAGCTTTAAGGTCTATTAAATCTAGGTACTGCAATGGGAAGAGTGGAGACAGAAAAACCAAAACATATTTTACTGACCATATCAGGTCCCAGGATAAGTTTCTCCATTAATGCCCCTTTATTCCTACATCAAGTCTACCCTTCCGGTCTTTCCTAACCTTGTCTCAGCCTACCAAACTGATCCAGTAACCTATCATTAGGGATCCTGGTTTTCTTGGATTTAAAAACAAAACAAAACAAAAACAAAACCAATTTTCAATTTAAAAAAAGTAACCCCAAATCCACATTTTGCCACAATTAAAATGAAATACCACTATATGTACCATCTATGTATTGGTAGTGTTTCATTTAAAAACACAGAAAAATGTGGATTTGGGGTTACTTTTTTTTTTTTTTTTTAACTGAA